ATCAAAAGTAAGTGTGGTTTTATTTTTATTCCCCCCTCCAAGACGAGGTTTCGCTTTAGTTGCCCAGCCTGGAGTGCAATGGCATGATCTCAGCTCACTGTAACCTCCGCCTCCTGGGTTCAGGCGACTCCCCTGCTTCAGCCTCCTGAGTAGCTGGGATTATAGGCATGCACCACCATGTCCGGCTAAGTTTTGTATTTTTAGTAGAGATGGGGTTTCACCATGTTGGTCAGGCTGGTCTTGAATTCCTGACCTCAGGTGATCCATCCGCCCTGGCCTCCCAAAGTGCTGGGATTACAGGTTTGAGCCACTGCGCCTGGCTGGTACAGTGGTTTTCTTTAGGAAAAGCCCTCGTGTGATTTTAATTAAGAGTTGAGGCGGGATGTGGTGGCTCATGCCTGTAATCCCAGCACTTTGGGAGGCCAAGGTGGGTGGATCACAAGGTCAGGAGTTTGAGACCAGCTTGGCCAACGTGGTGAAACTCTGTCTCTACTAAAAATGCAAAAAGTAGCCAGATGTGGTGGCGGGCACCTGTAATCCCAGTTAACTCGGGACATTGAGGCAGGACAATTGCTTGATCTCGGGAGGCAGAGGTTGCAGTGAGCTGATATTGCACCATTGCACTCCAGTCTAGGTGACAGAGCAAGACTCCATGGGGGGGGTAATTGATTGAGCTACCTTTTAATGTAATTTTATTTACTGGCTTTTATTTGAAAGAATCTTATTTGAAAGCTTTATTTTTGAAAGAATGACCAACAGACAAACTTTTATTTAGACTTGATATTTAGCAGATGTTTTCTTCACAATGAATACAGTGATGTGCCTGTCACTTTAAGGGAAATAACTGACAGTATCAGGTGCTAGTGATAGAATGTGAGCTTTCATATGAAAAATAGAAATTTTGGGTAAGTTATATCAACTGCTGTTGTGAGACTGACAGTATCTTAATACTTTATGATTGTTATGATGAAATTGATTTTTAAGTTGTGGTAAAATACACATAATATAAAAGTTTCCATCTTTTTAAATGTTTAAGTCAGTGTGAAATACATTCACATTGTTGTACACCCAATCTTATCTTGCAAATCTGAAACTATTACCCATTAAACAGCTTACTCTTTCTCCTGTGGCCCCTGGCAGCCACCATTCTGCTTTCTGTCTCTCTCAATTTGGCTGCTTTAGGTACCTCATATAAATGGAATAATAGAACGTTTATCCTTTTGTGACTGGCTTATTTCACTTAGCATAGTGTTCTTAACATTCATCCATGTTGTGGTGTCTCAGAATTTCCTTGCTTTTTATTGTGAGTACTGCTGCTATGACCATGGGCTTATGTAATCGTTTATAAGTAGAAGATCCAGAATACAAGATAGACTGGTTTTTAATGTACCAGTATGAGAAGTTCATCAGTGTTTTCAGATTGTACAGTACAACTAACCTTTAAGAAATTATCACTTGTTGGCCTGGTACGGTGGCTCATCCCTGCAATCCCAGCACTTGGGGAGGCCAAGGCTGCGGATCACTTGGGGTCAGGAGTTTGAGAACAGCCTGGTCAACATGGTGAAAGTGTCTCTACTAAAAATACAAAAAGTAGCTGGGTGTGGTGGCGCCTACCTGTAATTTCAGCTACTCGGGAGACTGAGGCAGGAGAATGGCTTGAACCCCGGAGCTGGAGGTTGCAGTAAGCTGAGATTGTACCACTGCATTCCAGCCTGGGTGACAGAACAAGACTCCATCTCAAAATAAAAATAATAATAATAATAATAAATGCCACTTGTTGAGTTTGGGTATGGTAACAAAATATCCAGTTATCTGAAAAGACTAAATAGTTCCTTTCCAACTACATATCTAGGTCACGTCAGATATTCTTGTACTTCAGTGAAAACAAAACATTACAGAATAGAATATGGAAATCCAGCTATCTTCTGTCAGACATCTGGGAGATTTGTAAAAATGTAAAACTGCCACTATTAACAAATTTTTGTTTTGAAGAGTTGTTTTTCCAAAAAAGTCATATTATTAATATGTACCGTTTTAAAATATTTAAAATTTGTTTAGTTTTAATTTCAGTATGGTGGATACTGATAGATATAACTTGCATACACAGAGACTTTTGGGGGACTTTAGTAATGTAACAGTGTAAAGGATCCTGATACCAAAGTTTCTTTGCTCTTACATAACACCATCATCTCCATTTGTTCACAGGATCCCACTCATCATTTTCTTAAGAATAGAGCTCCTGTAGTTCTCTGTGCAACAATACTACTCTTGTTTCCTGTGAGATAAGTTCTTTTTTTTTTTTTTTTTT